GGGAGAGGGAGAGGGAGAGGGAGAGGGAGAGGGAGAGGGAGAGGGAGGGAGGGGAGAGAGAGAGGCTTGGGCAACAAATGCGATTGTGGTCACAGCCTTGTCCCATGAGTTTTCTCCTTTTCGAGTCCCCGCTGGACACAGAACTATGCAGCGGCTCAGCCTTTTGTTGGCACGCCGGGTTTTGAAGAAGTTTGGCCTGGAGGAGAACTTAGCACCGAGTGCATTGGAAGTGAGCCTACAAATGGAGAGAGGGAGAGAGGGTGGGGAGAGAGGGATGAAGAGTCGGGTCCTGGTTTTGTGTATAAAATTGTATAAATCATCCAAGGACTGGCCCAACTCTGTCCTCCGGCCGTGTGTTCACGGATCTGTCGTTGGACCATCGCCACTTCCTCGCAGCTGCCCTGAGTCGAACTCACGACTAGTTCAGATCCTCAAAAGTCCACAGAGTCAGTAAGTCAGTGATAGTATAGAGGTCCAAACAAATAGCTAACTTTATCCAACCTCTAGGCCATTCAGTGGGTCAACACATTGTCAAAACCAAGCCCCTAAGTCCTGGTCGCTTCTATGTCAGTGTCCATTTGAACCGGACCGGTCACTTGTGTGGTCACTGGGAACACGAGTCCATGGCGCGAGTGAGCAAATGGTAGGCGTTCCAAGCAAAGCATCCTGTTCAAAAAGATCCTGCAACACCTGAGATGAGAAAACAACCAAGCTACAGTAGCATCTTGGTGGCTCCAAGGTGGTGCAGCTTCAACATCTTCAACAAGTTCAATCCGTCCAGTGGGATCCTCAGCGAGGATCAACGACTTGTGGATCTTGGTGCGGCACCTCCTTCGCGTCGCAGGTGGGCTCCCCGAACGCCAGGTAAGGCCTTGGGAAAGCGGAAAACCACGGATTTTGGGACATTTGCTGGGGGGTTCGTGGCACCTGGAGCTGAGTTGCCCGCTGGCAGCGCACTAGTCTAAGTGAATACTACAGGCTGCCCTAGAGTCTAACGAGGAAAACCTCCAGTCAGGTGAGCACTGCCAAAAGACCACCCCTTTGAAGCACCAGAACGTCGAGTTGTTGCATCCAGTAGGGGGGGAGTCGTGCACTAATTTCAACCCAGTTGCTCGCTGGCATTCGCTTCACTTGTTTGCTTTCCAAATAGGCCAAAGATAATGTCGTGATGCGACTTTGTTTGCGATGAGCTATGTGAAGAAATGTTATTTGCATCAGCAGTCTTGAAGAGCGTCCGGTAGTTGTGCGAGGGTCCAATGAGTTCTTGCCAGCTTTTGCCTTCCAGAGCTTTTGTACTAGCTTTTGTACATGCTGTGTGCAGCTTGACTTTCCCTTTCCATCCCTTCCGAAACCAAAAGAGGAAATGGACCCGCAAAAGGGCACGTTGTCCATCCATCATGTGCCTCAACCATGAGGTTGTGGATGCTGTGGGGTGTAACAAAAGGCAACAAAAACTTGAACGCCTGGAAGAGTTGACTTGGGCAAACACTTAAAGGTTGAGTCAACTTCAAACAACAGGTTTTGGAAGTCAACACTTGAAGTGGCCAGAAACTCAATCACCTGGGAGGCCCACTAGGTTTGTAGGGCCCTTTTTAAGGTGTGAGCGAAACTTCGAAGCAGCGAAGCACGTCGTTTCACTTCATGGTTTTGTTTCGCTCAGCTTTCTCATCGCTTTTTTCATCCAAAAGAGATGACTCTTTTGAAGCATCCTCGCAAATAAACTCAGCCTTTGGAAGTTCCTCAAGTTCCAACAAACATCCTGAGCTTCATATGGTCACCAATCAGGACACCTTGAGAACCAAATGGATCTAAAGATGACACGTGTTGACTTCCCGGTGACTTCAAATCACTTCGCAAGGACTGGTGTTTTCCCATCCAGTGGCTGCACAAGTACACATGTCAGTGGCATACCACGTGGTGATCCGATTGGCGACCACGTGGTGATTGAGTCCCACGGGGCCAAGTGGCAAAAGCCAAAACCATCGCAAGCTCCAGCTCATCCTGGGGTCGCGGCCAGAGCCAGGAAGATGAGATTGACACTGTTGGGGAGCATGGGTCAAAAGCTAGAGGCATAGAACACCCTGACATTTTGTCTTCACTTAATAAGGGAATGCAAACAAGTTTAATTTGATGAATGTGTTGGGCCCCAGGCCCAAGACGCTTAGCCTCCTGTACAGCATCAAACTGAGGGTGTTGATTCTTTGGGCTCCAATCATTTGTGTTGCCCAGCAAGAAGCTTAGCTCATCCCATACAACCAAAAAACATGCGTGACAAAAAGACTTGAAACGTTGTCTTTTGGGAGAGGGAAGCCACTCCCAAACCCAGTTGGGTGTATCTCAAAAGAGGAAAAACCTCTCAGTTCGACTCCCTGACGCGTGGATTGACGACGAGGAGTCCCCGACATGAATGGGCACGTCTGGAGGGGGCCGTGTCATCCCCCAGCGTCCCTCTGACTCCACTCCCCAGTAAGTGAACGCAGCCTTTAGGAAGTCATCCCCCAGACTCCAAACACTCCACGTATGGCACTATTGGGGTGGTTCATTTCAGGGGTCAATGTATGCAAATTTGCCAGTATACATGGAGTCTCTGGGAGATACACATATAGTACTACATATAGTATCGATCACGGAGAATGGACCTTCGATTGGGGCCTTTGGTTGAACTGATCAGCAGTTTTGGGCGTCTATTGCCTAATTGTTATTAATTTTTCAGCCCATTACACGGTGGCAAAAGAAAATACTATATAGATAGATGTTGATAGGTGATATGTGTCAATCCCAAGACCGTGCAAAGATTCGCACATTGACCATGAAACAGGAACAGGAAACAGGTCTCAACCTTTCTAAAACATCCACTGCAAATGCTCAATTTTTTAGAGGGAAGCATGGTCAGGGAGTCAAGCCCCGTCAAAGAAGACATGTCGTCGACATGTTGTATCACCATGTATCACCGGATTGCCCAGTCCGTGCTTTTCAGTATCAATGACACCAGTCACACCCCATGGACATGCTTCTCAGGTCCGAGGTTTTCCTTCCTAAGACTCCCAACACAGCCGTACGCACCGCGAACAAAACATATGTCTCCCAGGTTCGGCATCAGCGGTCTTCGCGGTGTTCGCCTTCTCGTACACGGCAGGATCAACAAACAAACCCGTTCAAGTGCTTGAGTTTCAGCAGCTGCGAGCACTTGAGTTGAGAGTGCTTTGGTTCTGGTGCGTTGCGCCTCGGTGCACTGGGAGTTGACGGGAGAGTTCCTGAAATTGCAAAACCTTCAAACACTGACACAAACAAATCAAATCCTCAAATAACACAGGTGCCTGAACTATAGTTATAATATATTCTTCAATCTTCTTCACGAGGTGCATATCAAATCAGCAAACCCTGGAGCACCTTCGAAAAAAATCAAACAACAAACACTGCATCTGAATGCAAGCCCGCCACTCCAACTGAGGACTTTTGGGCTTGATGGTGAATCCTCTCTAACCATCGCACGCATGAGCTCGCATGAGCTTTGAGTTTTTTGTTTTCACGTACGTAACGTAGGGGGTCGAACAGAACGTGTCTTCACAAGGGAATGGGACTTGCTTTTGGCCGAACGTGCGGATGTTCCATGATGTTCCGAAATCACCTCCGATTCGGCTTGACAAAAAAAGCTTTCCGCACGCGTTGATATGGGCGACCTCGGGTGCCCCCACAACCAAAGTAACAAAGGCCACCACCAGGTTCAGGTGATAGCTACCTTAGAAACATCCGCTCCTTTCGCGAGCGTTTCAGGGGACAGGTCTAGTGGTCGGGTCCAGCCCGGTCACGCGACCCGTTCCACGCGACAAACCCGACCGGGTCACTCGGTCCGGACTCGGTGTCTGGGTCTCTTGGACTCGGTTTCAGGTCTGTTGGGTTGCGACGTTGGTGGACTGTGAGGTGCTTCGTGGGAGGCAAAGATGGTTTTATCATCCAATAGCGTTTACAGTATCTATGTAACAATGGATCTCATGACTCATGATGGACAAGTGGTTTAAGCCTCAGAGAGAATCAGCCAAGTAAGTTCCTTCTGCTGTTTTGGACTTGAGATAGCGAAGACATCTTTTGGTTTCTTCTGGTTCTGATTTCTAAAAGAAGTTGAACAGCAGCTGCAGCACCTCATGACCGCATTGCAATACTATTCATGTAAAGATTCCTTGGAGGTTGCCAAGTCAGTGAAACACTCAGATACTATTCTGTGACATCTTGAAACACATCAAACATTGATATCCTTTTGGACATAATAGAGTCAAATAGAGGAGTCGATTTGGATCGATTTGGTACCATATTGTCTGTTCAATTGGACTTGGGGGTATCCCTCTATTAATCAACCATTGTCAACCAACCAAATGTTTCTGCTGTCTCTGTCTGCCAAATGTGATGAATCGAGGGGCCAAAGAGCAGCACCGTGGCTTCCACGCACACGGCATACCTCACGGATGGCACAAGCACAGCGAAAACGTGCTCGGGCTCGGATGGCATGTCTTCGGATCGGCTGATCTTGTTTTTTTGGGTCAACTCAACAGACTGCAGTTGTTCCGCGTGTTTGCTTTTTTCTTCCAATTTCCCACCAGGCACCTGACAGAACATGATCCATGATCAACTCTTTCATTTTTGTTCCACATTTTTCCTCTTCTGCCACACTTGCGTCCCTTCGGCTCGCCACCGGTTCAGTTCACTACCTTGTCTGCTGGGTGTTCAAACCACACAAAAAAGAACGCAGGCGCGCGTGTAAAGCGCGGAGCCCGCGTCGCGTCGCACGGGGGGAAAAACGAAAGGAGCCCGCGTCGCGTCCCGCGTGCTCCGCGTCCAAGGAGCCAGTCTGGGTGTCGCCGAAGGTCGCTGGCAGTTTGCCAGCTCGTGGTGATGCGATAGCGGCCCTCGCTGCCGTTGACCTCGGATCCCAAAAAAGGCACCGCGCCCCGTGGCCGTTTGAAGGTCCCGGATGTTTGGTTTAGTGCCTTTCTCCGGGCGCCGGAGAAAAAATTGATATATGGATACATATATGGGAAGGCTTTCAAGGGAACATTTCATCTGTCCGATGTCGAATGCAAAGCTTCGTGGTTCATTGAGTCCGTTGTCACCGGACTCTACCAGATCTACCAGTAATTACCGCTAAGTTCGACCAGCACGTCCAAAGAAAGCTCCATTCGACCTGCTTATGAGGATGGTGTCAACTGGCCATGGGGGTTGGCCACTTAGCCCATTGACTCCCTGCAGAGGTGCGGGGGATCTGTCTTGACCACCTCACCAAGAGTCGATTCTCGCGCCAAGTCACCTCCACTGCACCGGAAAACCTTGTTCAACTGGGATGTTGAACTTCTCCCGACCCCCCCATTGTCATGTTCAGAGTAGGATGTTTATAGCAGCATACAGTTACATTGGGATTTTGATTGCTTGCAAGCTGCTTGCTACCGCAACAGCACCTGTTCTCGCGCCACGTTCAGCCCTGGCCTACTGGCTGAATCTCAGGCTGAGTCCAGAGGGATGGGTGAACATCTGTTACTCTTCCTCCACACACTCCATCCTTCCTTCAAAAAGACACCTGAGTGCTCCCATGGAAGGATGATATCATGCGAGACACTGACACGGCTCCCGGTTCATGACCAAGAAAGCATGACTCTGGCGGATCCGGTGGAGTCACCGACGACGTGCTCACCGGGTGCTCATGTTTAAGGCGTCCCGGCTCGAAATGAAACCCGAAGTGAGAAGTGCAACATGAACAAACTTTTTTGGACTAGGGATGAGGGAGAAATCTGATGCCTAGTTCACATGAACGCTCGTCTAGACCGGACCAGGACAGCTCCTGCTGACAGCTCCTGCGGACAGCTCCTGGGACCCCAACCCACATGACCTCGCAATAGCCCAGCTCCTGAGACAGATGCAGAGGCTCAACAAACACTCCAGAAATAGACCTGCGGAAGATTATATAACATGGAACCTGAAAATGGACCTGTGAAAGACTCTATGATCTACAAACCAGTGGTTTTGAGGTTCCATGTGGGTCTCTTCCAGGGTGTAGACAAACGGTCCAACAAACCCTAAAGATTGTTCTGCTTCAATGTGCGGAAAGAGGCGCCGATGAGAATGAGGAAGAAGTTGTCGTTGAGATTACAGTGAGCGGACTGGATCAACGTTGATCAACTGCGACAGTGGGGTGGAGCTGGGACACCTTCAAGTTTATAGACCAATGTGAGAAAACAACACTTGTAAATGATCGTTCGTGCGTTTGTACTTTGACCAATATAATAGAAACACCCGGGGAATAAATCTGCCTCAGCAAGGAATCTTTGTGGCAAGACAATTTGAACGTAGCCTTCCAAAAGCCATCACCACAGCGCAAAACGCCAGGTTACCTCTTCCATGATTGCATACCGCGTATCGTTCTGCCAGAGGCGACTATGGAATCCACAAAAGGAGCTTCCCGGGTATTTTAGAGTGGTGTTACTCTGTGGGTGGTCTTTCAGCAAGATAAAACTTCAAATGCAAAGAGTCACACTACGGTCGCCAGATTTGCATGTCAGGCGGTGGATATATTTTCGGTGAAGTGACAGTTCCAGTGAAAAAGACTCGATGCAAACCCAAACAAAATATACTTCAGAGCCCCTAGACTTGACAAATACTTGACAAATCATTGTCTCAGACTAGATTCCTGAAAGGGACAGGATCTTCTATACGTATATATATGTATATCAATAATTGTTAAGTTTCCCTAAAAATCTAGGAGCCAAATCATTAGTGCGAGCGCTATCCTGCATCCTAAGTAGTAGCATTCTTGTAGCTACTAGCTTCTCCCTTACTCAATTGACTATAAGTGCCTACTTAATTAAACAAGGGAGGGGGGAGCGGGCTAGAAAAAGACAAAGTAGTTACATTATACAGGAACCTGACAATGTCATCCCTCAGTCATCCCTGGTCACCGTTTCAATGCCAAATCACCATTGCAACGCTGGAAAAAGAGACGACTTTCCGCAGAGCCTTCCCCCCAAGACAGGGTAGCAAGTGATGACATTGTCTTTTGCCTGTACATATATATTATAATCAATTTATCAAAAGATGATAGAAACAACATGGGGTTATTCAAGCACCCTTGTTTGTCATCGAGCACGCCTGCCCAGTCGTCACTCGGCTGCCCGAGCAAATAGACAAAAAAACAATCCCCGGCGAAACAAAAATCACTCCATGTTCGCATCATCCGAAAAAGAGTCTTGTTTAGTCTTGTATATGAAATATATGAAATACATAATGTCCAAGATATTTCAGAAAAGGGTCAAAAAACAACAAAATTTAAAGGAGGCGGTTCATGGGTATCTTCGACGGATCCCAAACCCGGGAAGTACATGAATACCATATTAGAATACCCCCACCAAGCCACCAAGCACTTCCTGTCACCTCATTGACGAACCAAGCTTTTTCCCCCCGGAACATCCATCACACGCCACCGGAGACCAGTCCTGGCAATCGTCGCAGTTGGTGACGGTGCCCACCATGGAACATCCCGGGGCCGCGTTCTGCTTGGCATCGTCCTTCTTCATGTCATACATCCAATCCTGGTGACCGCCCGGCACGTGGGACACGCGTGTCCCACCGTCCGGTCGAGGGGGGGATCTAGAAAGGTGTGAACGATGCTGTCGGCCAAAGGATCTATCGGTGGGACGATGCTGTCTCGACGGGTTCTTTCAAAATGCATTATGGTTCCCCTATCATTCTCATTCACAGATTCACACATGGAATTTCCAGGTCCACATGGTGCTCCTTGTGAGCCTTCGGTCACATGGTCATACATGGTCCAGATGTAGGCCATCCTTTCCAGATGCAACATGATTCCATCTGAGTCGCATCTGCCTCCCTCGACTCGTCGCATCCTTCTACTGGACTACACTGCTCTCGGCACAGGCCGAGCCCTGTCGCCCGGGGGCCGAACCTTGCCGGGGAGGACCTTCATGCCTGGGTGACCAACGGCGGTCCACGGTCCACACGAGCTACGTCCCCTGCCACACGTCCCGCGCCACCCGGCGGCCCTTCCCTTTCAGGGGTACCGGGGTGTATCAATGCACACCCTGATTGACCATTGAGGAGGTCAACAGACTACCTGAGAGGTCAACCTACCAGGGTCACCCGGGCTCCTCCGGGTGCGACCTACAACCAAATGGCAAAGGTTGCGGGGACGATGTGCGAAAAAGAGGGGGCGGATGGGGCGGATCCTTCGGGAAGAAGGTCAGCTCTTCAATTCGATTGTGAGATACTTAGTTGGATGTTGGTGGTTTTTGCATGCCTATGACCGAACTGGAGTTACAACCCCCAACGATGGGTTCTTCCGTTTCGGTTCCCCCCAGGCCAGAAGGAGCTTACCTAGCTTCTGAACCCCTCGTTGGGCCATGGTATGATTCTCACGCGAGAATCGCGGAGAATCGCGGCGCCCAACGAGGACTCGGTGGAATCAGTTCCAATTGTAGTCATAGATCCATCATGGGTGGAAAGGAACATGAACGTCCTTCCTTTTTCAATCAGTCTCAGTGGAAACAGGACATCAAAGGATCTTCTATGATCTTCTCCACTTCTCCAGTTAAGACCTTCTCTTGAGGGAACCAGAAGACCAGCTCGAGTTGAGTAGAAAACCCTGTACACCTTCCTGATTCCGAAAGACAAAGCCTCAGGTGTCTGGGTGGGTCACTTGTGCCAACCAGCCAAGATACCGGAAACCAACCCGACAAGCTGCAGCATAGCTTACAAAGAAAGTAAATTGAATTGAATCAACCTTGTGACTCTTGGCATTTTGAATAAGTTAACTTCTTGCATGGATGTTCATCATTATGATCCAATGGGGCTTCTCGGGTACTCAAGTGGACCATATGAGCTTTTTGGGCATATGGATATAGGTCAGAACATGTCAGAGTCAAAAACCAATTGAACTAATTGCATTGGACCCTGTTGATGAACAAGGATGCATGGACACTCTATCTTGGTGCTACTCCTAGGCACGCGGGTTGATCCATTTGCCAAACAGCCTTCCCCACATTGATCACTCCTGCTGGTTCTGACACCCACTCCGACTCCACTGAACACTTTCACGTACTCCGCCACTACTGAGGCTCCATCATGTCATATCTCATATGAGTTGCGGACAAAACCTCTTTGGGCCCCAAATTGTTGGGATCATATGTCATCCTATGTCATCATATCCATATGAGCATCACTTCCATCATACGTCATGTATCATGTCTCCATGGGTCTGTCGCTACTGAGCGCGGGGCCGACTTTCACGTTCTTGGCGGTGACCGGCCTCACGGGGCTCCGGTCCCGACCGGAGACCGGTTTGTTCACCGGTGACCGGTCGTGGCGAGGAACAAGGACTTTAGGGTTAAAGGAGGGGTCTTCAGAAAAAGAACAGAACCATGATCCAATCTACTGCAGTTTTGCGAAACAAAAGAACAATATAGAACAATCATTTATGATTTACCCTTTCGATGCAGCACTGCTTCGCTGTGCGAGCACCGCTCCGACTGTCCGCGATATGATTTACGGGTCAACCCGATGTATAACTTTGCTGTGGGGAATGGACAACCCACGGCCAACCACCGTGACTTCTGCGTGTCGTGACGCCATCGACTTGCTGTGCCTGCCACGGCCGGGCAACTTGCGCCAGCGGCGGCTGAGGAAGAGCAGCACCTGCAGAGTCCGGTCGTTCTCAGCCGACCAGCTACGAGACGCTGGATGGGGGCAAGAGGAGACAAAGAATTGGTTCCAGGCTTGCATTTTGGACATGAGTGGATCTTGATCAAGTCACATGATTCTTGTTTTTGCCGGATATTTGCAAGAGGAGACTTGGGAAACTCTGCAGGTGCTGATGAATGACTGAAACCATCGACGGTCGCAAGAACCTGCAAGGACATGAGCATGGACTACCGGAGCTAGATAGAACAGTCCTGCTGGTGGCAAAGCATGGCAAAGCATCTTCGCAATCCTTTGGACCCCAAAGCAGGCCATCCCTTCATGATCTCGTCGACCAAAGATCTGGCGACAGGATCTCTTGTGGATGCTTGAGAGGTCTTTTCCTCGAAACCTCTCGACCCAAACCTTCAAAACGACCCGATCCGCCGCCTTCGCCACGGTGTCCAGGAAGGAGAAGAAAAGCCTCGCATCGGTCCAAGCAGCCGACCGACGGAGATCTGGGCACCGAATATGAGAAGTTGCAATGGGGCAACCTACATGAAGCCTCAAACATAGAAATGTGGTCAACTTGTGCTGCTCATCTTAGATCTCTTCACCCAACACTCTGCGACACGAAAAGGGACAAAGACCCCATCTCTTCACCCTATGCGCAAACCAAGAAAGCCGCAATGTGCCTATGACCTCCAGTTTCTCGCATGGATTCCCTCTAGCTGTTTCCTACTTTTGACCAGACCCAAACGGAGAAGACCCAGGCTCTCGGGCATACCAGCCAGCAAAATGGTGGAAAAGGAGGTGGCTTTCGCCAGGATCCTGGGAGCTGCGGCGCTGCGGTAGGTGGATTGCGGTAGCGCTGATCCGAACAAGTCCGGTCGAGTTGGTTGGGGCGTGGTTTGGCCAAGCAAGCTGGGAGTGTGGGAGATGAGTAACAGTTTTGAGAAACAGGTTCATAGGATGAAAGCTGATGCAGGTGAAGGTGGGAGGTCTTTGTTAAAAGTGGGGGATTGTTGAATACATGAAGCCGGCAGCTGGAGATTGTTGGTGAGATTCAGGATTCGTGCTAGCGTAGGTTGGGATGACGAGACTCATAGGTGAACAGGATGCTGACGTGTTCTTCCGGAAATACTCCAGTCATCTGGAGGCTGCGAGTGTCCACATCCGTGCCTCTGAATCCTATATTCGATAGTTTCCATGTTCCTTTTATATTCTAGCCTGATGTGTTTAGGCTAGGTCAGCTGAGCTAGGATGAATAGACCCCATCTGGAAGTTCGTGTTTGCTTGAAGTGAGGGGAGCAATTCGTAACACATCCTGCCCCTATGGCTATAGCATGCTGGTGGTCTATCGTGGCTTTTTCATTACCCTCATGGTCATGTCATCCTTTTGAACCTAGAGCCACGGGTGAAATGGTGCATCTCCCGCGAGTCAGCAGTGTCTACAGTCATTTGTGGACATCTGACACTCTATGTATGAAAACGAAACTGTATTATTCTTTAAGGATGAAAAGGATGCTCAACGCTACTAGGAGCAAGGACGCTACTAGTAGCTCCTGGCATCGCTACTAGTAGCAAGAAGCTACTAGTAACAAGGTGCATCGCTACAAACGGAGCAAGGACGCTTGCCACCACAATTCCCCGGACCGCCCATCGAGGGACACCCGGGACAGTCTCCCATGGGCGCCCGCGCAACAGGAAGAAGATCATGATCACCTCAGCGCTTTGGTTACGAAGAGATGCTTCACAAGGGACGGCTTTTGAGAGGACGACCTGGGAACCTGACATGATGACATGTTTCACTTTTGGAACATTGATGTGGAAGGGTCAGATTTGAGCCCCTTGACGAAGTCGCTTAGTTTGCAAAACGACTTAGGTTTGCGCTTGGTGAGACAACACTTGCACGAATCAGTGTAGATGAGACTGCACCTAGCGACATGTTCAGCGAGACTGCCTCCAAAAGACCAAGAACAAACTACAAACTCAGCACTGCTTACTGGTACTGGTACCATTGATAAAGGAAACCCTACACCTAACTGACTGTTGGTGAACAAAACCTGCCATACTTGTATGGAGATCTAGAACCATCCTGGTGTTGGGGGGTTATATAATCAACAGTCAACATTGAGTTGGAAGCGTTCTCCATATCTCAATAGTACGCCTCAAATTATAGGATTGCGGATCCTGACTCAACTGCTTAGCCGGCTTGCCATGGTCTCTCTTCGTCTCCCTCGCTCTCTTGTGATGTTGCTCCAATCTGGTATGCAAAGAATCCATGGAAGGATCTCTCCTACAGAGTTACCAAACATCTTCACCCTTGCAGTGCTTGCAGACTTGGAACCCAAAGAAGTCCAAACCTCTTCACCCCGCCCGGGCCCGGCACCGGTCCAATCCCATCGAATGACCAAGGTGCCCCGATCCACAATACGTCCACGAAGACACCAAAGGCCAAGACGAGGAAGGCGTGGAGCACCTCCAAGCGATCGGAAACGGGGGGCCGAGGCGCATCCACGGTGGATTCCAGGTGGATCTGAAACCAATGGTGTTGTTCGGCAAACTAACTGCGGTCTTCACGTGATCTGCGGTCATCTGCACGATCCGTGCGACTCGCCGTGCGACTCGGACGGTGAAATCGGTCAGCTGCATCAGTGGCGTTGATGACTCTGTCCTGTCCTCTCTGCTGAGCATTGGGGCAAGCTTAAAGGGAATAACTATAACTTACCTGATGTGTTAACTCACACTGTTGAGTTGTCCAACTCATATTCACATTGTACTGTATTTCAACTTCCAAGGTTGTGAGCAATTAGAAGCGGACCATACGGCCAAGAAATGAGGGAGCATAGCTGAGCAGAACAAGGATTTACGACATTGATGATGTATGTGGCGGCGGTGGTGATGAAAGTCTGGAAAGGCATCTGGAAGGCTGCATGGATGGACCCGTTGCCAGGACTTAGTTGGAGAATGACTACAGTAAGCATTCATTCCGATTCATGGCAATGGACTTGGTGATTCCAAACGTCTTCTTCACTGGTCAGCTACGTGCATTCAACCAACCTTGCTTGCCGAGCGCTTGCACTTTGTCTACCATTGATCAGTGATGATTCTAAGAAGTCAGAAGATCCTGCGTACTATATCTGGCGTTTGAGTTCCTCAGCCAGGCCCCTCTGTGTGCCATCCCATGACCATCCCACTTTGCAACACACAACACCAGCGTCCTCCCGTCGTCAGACTGGGTCCCCAAACCCAAATGAAAAGGCAGAACTCTCCAGCTTCGATCACTGAAGAGGGCCTCCAGCGACTCGCGACGCCACGACCGGCGGAACCAACGACGCGGTGTTCCGCGCCGGGGGGTCGCCGGGGAGAACGACGCGATGGACGGCACCTGGACGAAAGGGGAAGGATGGGGGGCAGCGGGGTGCTGGACACAGAAACACATGGTTTGATGTTTGATGGATGGGGTGTCACCTGGAAGTAGATTGGATTAGCTTCGGTAGTCAAACACCAAAGTGCAAAGAGTTCAAAAGAGGGATGTCAATGGACTTTATGAAGACATGACCATATTTGGTGAACCTAAAGCGTGTCGAAAACAAGAAGAAACACATTTGAAAAACCATCTGCGGGTCCCTTTCACTCAAATTGGCATTGCAAGTGTCCATGCAGGACAATATAGATCTGTCTCTTGGTTGAATTCCCTTATACCAGCATATAGAGAAAATTGAGGGTTGACATGACTCGGCTGATTCTGAAAGGGGCCGGCAGCCATGTTTGAGACAGACCTGAGACCTGTTTGCACTGCTGCACAGCAGCCTCCTAAAGCAACCCATCAGTGGGCTGGATATGAACACCTTTTCTACAACTTGTGTGAATGCTGATTCACAGGGTGTTTTGATAAATCTGCCATCATCGCAACTTCGTTGATCAATCATGATCAATCCACTTTGATGCTCACAAACCATACACCATACAGGAACATGCCTCATGCTCCTTGGTTCGTCGCGACCCGTCCGAACAAAGGCCGCCTCGTCCACTCGCCCGTGTTTTGGGGGTCCGGGCAAGGTGGCAAAGAGCAAGGTGGTGCGACAAAGGCTCCAGGCTAAGGACATGCAATCGTCCGTGAAGCGGTAGTTGAACCTCGATGACCCAGTTTCCGGTCAAACAGGGTCGAGCGTTTCTGCTTGGTGTGGAGTGACAACGTGTGTAACTGCTCGACACTTCACAGTGGCGATGTAACAACGGCGGATGTCTTCGAAGTGTCCGATGAGAAGAAGCAACAGAATGGCCTAAGAACTGGCTATTCTATTGTATGATAGCTATAATATATATATATATCAATATCACATGGGTTCCTCTTTAGTTCTTGAAGGGACATGTGCAAACAATATCAAACAATGTTGGAGCCACATACAATCACATATAGAGTACCAGGATTGCCTCCAATTCTGCCTCAAAGAAGATTGATCCCTGAAAATAACACATGCACTGCCCATGAGCACCGTCATAGAGTATTCGTGCATACAGTACGTAGTAGAGTCATGTAGAGTCTGTAGAGTGGTTGGTGCAACATATTGGTCGTATTCGCTGGAAGGTATGAGACACCAACTCGTGGTCAAGGCCAAAGAAACTCGGTGTTCTTAAAGTACCGCCTCCCCCTGATCAAAGGGACCTACACTCTGCACACCCTGAAACAATCATGGAAGTGGATGGCATGGCCTCTTGGAAGAGCATGTTCGCATGTTCCTCTACAAATGGGTGGCGCCATCCACGTAACCATGTGTGAGTGGCCCCCCAGGGGAAGACCGTCGCATCCCTTCGCCATCTCCCGGATTGGCACATCCCGTCCCCAATCCACCTCCTCAGAAATGATACAGTTAAAAGTTAGGGCCTCCACACCATGGCCTGCCTATTCCTGGCCTGATTCGATGGCTGAGTACAAATAACATACATGCGTGTATTAATAACACTCTGCAAACGGGGAAACAATCTACACCGGGGAGAAAGTTGTTGGCGCAACTCAAAAAAAAATAGCGGGAACAGCCGCGCCATGTAACTCCTTTTTCTCGCTATTTGGCCGTCATAGATGGCGCAACTGGTCTTTGGACTGCAGAAAACTAAAATTCTGCGGGGTGTCTGTGCGGATACTAGTTTCCCTATTTCCCAAAAAACGTTTGGGGCCTATAGATGGCAATGGCCAAGTTCTGTACAATAGTGATTTCCTCATATTTCTTCTTGATTTCCTCTTGCCTCTTGAACTTATTCATTTCCTTTTGATGTCCTTTTGCGGTGGGGCAATAGATGGAGCGGTCCCAATCTCCGCTATTTTCTGCAAAATAGCGCACAAAATCATGCAGAATCTTCCTGTTTTTTAGCCACGGGGCGCATAGATGGCGCAACACACCTGAATGCCCCTGATACCTAAACCTGGCGCAATAAAAAAAGTCACCTCATCAATTTTCCCTGCGGAGTAACATACGTCAAACGCGGAAACGGCCAAAAGTGTGCGGGGGAACTGTTAGTCTGCAAAAACGTCAGCGACCACCAACCGACCATCATGGTAGGTGGGAGCAGATCGACTGTCCGAAGGTTCATGGTGCCTGATCCTGAGTGGATGAGAGCCCCAATCCTAGTGAGTTGCGGCAGTTTCTGTCTATTTTGTAATGGGGCAACAAGAATGGCCAAGTAAGATAGTTGGGCCTATGGCCAAACACCTGTGCAACAAACAAAAAAGACCGTTACACGATCTTCGTCGACGCGCCAAAAAAAAACCGTTACATGACGATCACATACTTCACCGGATCGAGCAGCCGATTGTCGGATTCCAAGGCAGACTGCAGGAGCACCTGGACGGCTCCCACCGTCGGACTGGTGCGGGTCCAATTCGGCGATACGATCGAAACAGGAGTCAATGATAGGAGTTAGTTAGCTGGTTTTGTTTGGGTCTATAGGACATGCAACATGATGGATAACAATGAACACGAACATGAGGGTGATGATGAGGCCTCGTGACGATGATGAGGATCCAGGATCACGGTTTGGTAGGTTGGCAGCAATGTAGTGTTTAACATGATGCGGCTGATCATCTCTATGAAGGTGGCGATTTCATATTGCTGTGAATAGGGTGGAGCAGTCCTAAGAACTAGACCGCCTAAAGCCACGTGTTTTTTTAAAAGTATATTTTTGCGCTGTACCACAATCCACAGGCCGGGGATGACTTGGGTATCTTCCGGCGACATCCAGCCGCCCATCACACCCAACCACGTGCGCTCTGCAGTTCAAGCGCCCTGGCCTCAAAAAGGTTCCCGGGTTGGCCTTTGGCGCCAGCCTTGGGTGGATCCTGCACAGCGTCTGCGACTTCGTTGGCTCAAAAGCCAGGACCTTTCTTATTTTTTGCCTTCTAAGCCTTGAAATCAAATTTCTATGATTCGAGAGCACGTGCTTAAGGAAGCGTGTATAGAGTACTTTTTTGGGGGGAGTTGAGGGGAGGATGAGTGCTAAACGAGCATGCGCGGTGGGTCGGTGGGTCAACATGGCCAACGAATGTTCGCCATGACATATATGGGTGTGCAACTTAATAGAGGCACACCCAACCAATGATTCAATGGGTGTTGGTCTATTTTCCTTCTTCCAGGAGGTGTCCGCATTACACACCCAAACTGAGACCTATCTGGCTCCATGCTTTGGATTTCTTTGGGAGGGCTTATGGCAGGGGGAACATGTCCCGGCAAAGAATAGGATCGATTGGTCGCGGTGCGGTGATCCGGCGGCGGGTCACGAAATCGATTCACCTCCGACACTCTGCAGGCCATGCCATCTCGGCTCCACACTTGGTATCCCCACACCCTTGATGATCTGATGATCACGGGTGGCAGCAATGAAATTGCACGTTGCAGGCCGCAACGAGCCGCCCGCCTTTCTCCTCCCAGCAAGCACAGCCAATCTGGCTATAGGCTGTGGGATGTCTTCCTCTTCTGTTCTTGGCTTAGCTTTCCAATCCTATGGCCTCTTGAACTTGGGTGCCACATGCAAGCTCTGGTCAAAGAAATGTTCTCAAGGCCGCACTCCCAACCAAATCGATCACACTGACGTCACACAGTACAACAACCTTTGGTAGGCTTTTGGCTGCCACCTCGAAGGACTTTTTCTTTGGTGAACAAATGTCTGGGGTTTGTCCACCATTTGCTCTTTTTTCTTAGGTGAACGGTTTGTCCACCAATTGCCTTTGGTGAGCAAATCCGTGAAGCTCTTGCAGAGTTCATCCTTCAACTCGACGATGAGTTTGTTGAGGTTCAAGGGCTTATGGATGTCGATCTCCACAGAGTGGTAGGACATAGTTGCCCTTTCTTGGCATAAAGCTTTTTGGAGACGCTAACGACAAGAAGCTCGCCTTCCAACAATGGTTATCCCTCGCTCGCAGGAGCGCTTCCGTGGCGTGAGCATCAACATAGCAAGAAACAGGGAGCAACGAAGTGTCAACCATGGCCACAGTAATCTTGGACTTTTTAAGGGGTGCGCATGGGAACTTCTGCGCGCATGCGCCACAGTGCAGCGCATGTCTTCTTAAAACCAATCTCACCATCCAGAGCTCTCCAAAACACCAACAAACTATATGAACAACGATGCGACTTCCCCAACATGCTTCACCAATGGAAGCACATACCAAAAGCAGCTGCCACTTGGCCATGCTTCACACCGAGTCGGAGCAAAGAGTCGGTCGATCTTGGGCTCGCGTGTCTCCATGTTTGGACCGGTATGGTTTTACCATGGACATTAAGCCCTGCTAGTGGGCATGTAGTGGTCATGTCCACTTCTTAGATCGAGATTGTGGTCGAGTCTTTTCATGTCTTTTCACCATACTCCTCAGCTTACTGTAGCTGCTTACTGTAGCTCCAGTCTTGGAGAGCAAAACCCTGATGTGAAAGACATGTCTATCTATAAGGATCCATCCAAAAGACACGTCTTCTCACGTCTGATCCTTCTGGTGCAAATTTGGAGCTTTCAAAGTGAAACCAATTGAAAACGGATCAAACACTCGATCATCTGTTACTCTGCCACTTGCCCCGGTTTTCTTGTCTCAACAGGGTGAACTGACCTGAACTGACCAACGATGAATCCTTCCCCCCATAGTGACGTCGTGCTGGGAAACGAGCACTGACATTCGCCTGCGCCGGCTTATTGCCACTCGCGGAGATCGTGATCCACATCCTGACGGTTTTCACACGAGATGGACCACATCACAGGTCTTGGAGAGATGGAGACATGTGAGAAATACCTTTGGAACCATCCGTGACTGCGGTGTTGAATGAGGTCCACAAGTAGATTCGATGATCCCCGGCTGGTTCTGGCCGTCTCACAACTTTTCAGTTGTCAATGCAGGTGAAGCTTAGTGACACAACAAATCACAACAGTAGGGGTTGTAGTTGGATTTGGAAATCAAATATCTGGATGTTCCGTTTGGATGGCTGCTGATCTCGCCTGTTGGTGGCGTCACATCCATTGTTTGACCGCCTGTTCTCTGCCCACTCAGCCAGGCATTCATATGCATTAATGCAATTGGCGAACCGCAGAAAGGGCCCCCTTGTAGCTTATATATAGTCATATATACATTGACATAATATATATATATATGTTTAATACGATATAACTTAGTGATTTATGAGTGCCCTGCCCCCATTTTGACACATACATCACGATAAAGTTTTAAAACCAAACACACACACACACTGAAACCCAATTAAATGTATGGTGGGGCCGCCGGCCTTTCAACCCTCGCTTGGCGCTGTGGGGTGGATATCGAATCTCTTACCTTATTGCTGGCACTTGTCCATCAGTCAAGTGGTTTCTGTCCTTGCAACAATATTAAGGATCAAAGTATCCTAAACTACTACAGGATTAAACATTGAAGTGAACATCATGTTGGACAAATATTTCCCCACAGCATCAGTCCAACAAAACGCCCCACCCATAGCTGGTTTCAATGGTTGGTGTTCAACAGTTGATTCAATCAGTAAAGGTGAACTAATATGTCCAAGTACCACAAGTACCCAATTCTACAGAATATCATGAAAGTGAACCGTTCGCTGGAATGGATCTGTTCACTAAACAAGGACTCCCGAACACAGTCCCGGGGCCTGGTGTGGTAGAGCTCAGCCCTGCTCCGGTCGGCAGGGCAACGCATCATGAAGTGGTAGAAGGCCTCCACGTCCTGAAGGGAGCCGCTCGTGAGCCCCTCGCGTGAGCCCAACATGCCTCACTGCATCACCTGTCCCAGGGGAGCACATTTGCTTACAAGATTTTGAACTCCTGCATGAAAAGGTGCCAGAAAACAGGCAGTTGGCCACCTTTTCTTATTGTTTTGGTCCTGTCAACTGCCTGATCCCCCAAAAAATCACCACAACATGTGCATCTCGCGGAATGTTCCCTGCCTTCTCCATGAACAAACGGTCCCACCGACCAGACACTCCATGGGACTGCCATATATGCCGATCAGTTGGGGTGGTTTTGGGGGTCAATGTAGGCATATATTGCATACAGTACATGGAGTGTTTGGGTATTAATAGTATGTTTTTCCTGCAATACACACCGTGCCATTCAAAAACCATTCTGGCAAATGTTCCACTTGTGGGTACCGCATGAGTAGTGTTGCTTTTCTTTCCTATCTTCCATCCCTCATGAAGAGATTTTGTCTTTGGGAACCCTCCTCGAGATATAGTGATTGAAATCCCTCCTCATGAAAAGATTTGGTCTTTGAGATCCCTCCTCATGAAGAGGTTTTCGTCTTTGAGAGCTCTCCTCATGAAGATATTTACTCTTTAAAGTCCCTCCTCATAAAAACAAAAATGTCTTTGACATCCCTCTTCATGAAGAGCTTTTGTGTTTGAGATCCCTCCGCATGAAGGGAGTTAGTGTGTCCCCTACTCATGTAGTCTTTGAGATCCCTCCATCAGAAGAGATTTTGTGTTTGGGAACCCTCCTCGAGATGTACTGATTGACATCCCTCCTCATGAAAAGATTTATTAGTCTTTGAGATCCCTCCTCCTGAACAGATTCTCTCTTTGGGATCCCTCCTCATGAAGAGATTTTGTGTTTGAGATCCTTCTCATGAAGATCCCTCCTCACGATGGATCCCCCCAAAAAGAAACATCAACATGATTCGGTTTCCAGACACGCAGACCTTCCGATGTTCTGGGAGGGGTTAATAATTGATCACGACAAAAGACTGAGCATCCCCATCACGTTCAACCAGGGCTACGAGTTGGCATTGTGAATATAAAACAAAGCTATCTGATGCTATTTCAATCTATTTCGCAATGGCCCAATGGAAGGTCTTTCCCATTCTTGATATTTGCCTCAACTGGATGCAGTCCTCACACAGGTTCTGCCAGCTCGGGTAGGGCGCGAAGAGCGTGGGCACAGTGAGCCAGCAAACACATGCGAAGATGATGGTAATCATTGGCCTTGGCAGCCCCGGGTCCCGGCAGTGGTGATTCCACCTCCTTTTCATGGCTGGAAAGAAAAGGTTCACACAGGCGAACCCTTTGACAACTTGCAAAGCTCCTCAAGCGAGAAAAGGACACACGTCATGAAGCCAGTTCCATTGGAGCAAAAGAGATATGAGATATCCATCCATTAAATTCCATCAACACTCCCCATAGTCATTCATAGTCTGTAGCTGCTCGGAAAACTGCTGTCTGATTTTGTAGACGGCATGAAGGCCTCCCAACAGTTCTATACCCTGCCACCTCTGGGTCGACTTCAACTCCCTCTTGCCTTATTCTATCTCATTCTTCACAAGAGTCCATTGTTTTGACCATTTTGGACGGCTCAAAAACAAAACTTGCATCCAACATGCTAAAAAAGCATGTGCTTCGACCCTCTACAAGCCACTTATCAGAGATCCCACCTTCGACACTCGCTTCGGGTCGAGACAGTGGCGCAACGCACACCGTGGCGCGTGGCGCAAGTCCGCCAAGGCACAGGGCGCCGGCAAGGCCCATGTTGGCACTGCGGTAGAGTATGTAATAGAAGAGGAAGAGGCAAGCGTCCTGCCGCTCAGAGCGGGAAAGAAAGAGGCTTTCTGAACCAACATGGGGGAGTGGACAACCATTCTTCAGGGAATCCAAGTGAATCCATTCTGGGTGAAACATCATTTGCACGGTATGACTCGTCATCATCTATTTTTCTTCGTTCCAGCCATCGCCGGGGACACTGACCATGAGCGAAGCTGTTGGCATGAATCAAAAGCATCAGTTAGTCGGTTAGCCGCCTTTTAGAGCTGGTTATGGCTCGTTGGTTCCAAAGCAGTGTGTCATGAGGCGTGACCAAAAACCAAGTCGTCCTCCAAAGTTGTGTCGAAGTGGCCAGTTTTGGATCCAAGCAAGGCCCTGATAGAACAATATGACTTTGCAAGAAAATCTCTGCATGTTCCAAAACGCAACCCTGACACCTACTGACGATGATCCTGGTAGTGCATCTGTCGGTACCTCAGATGTGCAGTCAGCTCTGGCAAGTGCAGAAGCAACGAGACTCATCTGAACAACTGGGTGTGCCATACTTCTAGTTGAAAGCCAAAGAGAAGGATAATTCATGCCCTCAACCTGCTGGAATATCGGATAGAAAAACATACAGATCAATTGGTTCAGGATAGGCAGGCCCGTAACAGGAACCCTCTCTTAAAACGCAGCCATCGTTGCAAACTGTGAATGCCTGTGGCACCCAGGATTTGCAAGGTATGCTTTAAGTTCAAAGGGAATTCATGCATAGATCTATTTTGGTAGCAACAATACCTAGAGAAGGTTGTTTTGAATAGTATGTTGGATCGTTGTCACTTTAACTTTTTCTATGAGATATCGATATACATGGTGCAGCGCTTAAGGTATCCGTGTTTCTTGAGATTCTTTGAAGGAGGCCCATCCCATGATACATGTGGTTCATCACTCTCTGAGATACCAAAGACCTTGCGTATTCTGATCCTGTATGATCCTGTCTATAACTAAAGTCTCTGATGCACAGGGTCCCGAGCTCCCTCTGCTAGTCATCAAAGCATCTCGGGTCTGAGTGGATCGCGGTCATGAAGCACAGCTATCATGAAACCGACTGATCAGGTCAGCTCCAACATGCAGGCTATTGGCCAGGTACTTCGAGTAGTACAGTAGTGGCACCAATGTATATATATATATATATCAAGTGAGTCAAGAGTCAAAAGTGTCTTTCCATCCACATGAAATCCAATCCCCTGTTTGATAGCACTAGTTGCACCATCTACAGTACTTATTTAACAAATATGCATAGAGGTTGATGCAAAAGTATAGTACTTAGATTTGGAGCCAGTTCAGTCCTTAGATTTGGCCCAGGTACTGCATAAAGGTATCGATCAACGTCAGCCTTGTATTGGCATTCGGCCGCCCCGTGGCTCGATATGTGGCTGTGCCCGTGCGGAGCGCCTGGCTCGGTCACGTCATGACCAGGGCCCAATGGATGATGATGGTATGTAGAAGGCATGTAGGTTGCCATAGTTGGGTGAAACTGTCCACTTACCACCCAACCATGGCAACCCATTGTTCCTCATGTGAAAACCCTATGAAACAAATAGTCAAATAGTGATAGAGTAGCAGTGGAAGTGACATGCAACTCATAACCCAGTGGAACCAAATGCAAGGGAGAGTAGGGACATCATCTATGATGAGAAGGAGGAACATTGGAACATTGCTTGCGACTGGAAAAATCTGCACTGGAAAGATCTCTGCTACACCGCGACATAAAAAAGGCTCAGTATAGTGTGGTTAAACATGAGGGAAAACAAACATAAATAATGGATAGAAAAGTAGATCCCCACTAAACATGTATTGGAGACCGTTTCTCCAGCCTCCGAAAGGTCTGCCATAGTCCGAATGGTCCGATTGGTATCTTGACCCAGAACCCTTCCATTCTCTTCCAAGATTTAGGTGGCTAAGTGATCTGAGCACATAGAAAGTGAACCATTCTTACAATAAAAGGCCAGCGAAGTTGCACCCAGCCGCTGGCATGGAGTTGGTATGAATTCTCCTTCATATCCAACATGAAACAGTTTGTAGACTTCTGACCGGCCGGGCGGTGGTTTCTTTGTCTTTTTAGGGGAATGTGTTCACTCCTGACAGAGTTGTACAGGGCGAAACCATTTCATCCTGATGAACTTGATGTACCCGCCAGTCATCAAGGATTGAGCACAACATGAGGTGCATGTCCAGGTCCAGCCTGTCGCACAGCTGCGGACTTGGTCTTGTTCTGGAAGGTGAAGAACATCAGTGTCAGCGCCCTGGGTGTGGTGAAGCACTGGTTCTGTCAGGGACATCACTTGGTGATGTCCATATGGGTTGATGACACAAACTATATACTCAAACGTTTTGATTGTGAGATATACTATATATAGGGATGTCCTAAATAGAGGCATTAACCTGAAGCCAGTGATTGTCCCTTACCTTAACTTTCTTGATTGCTGCTTTCACACAACGTAAACATATCAAACAGGTCATGACTGGTCTGGCGCAGCCCACAGTTCAACATCAATGTCGACATCAGATCTTTCTTGGGCAACACCCCAGCCCCAATACTTGACCAAGCCACCCTGCAGAGTCCCGCGGACCCTCATGCCCAAAGACTCTAATTTCAGACCAAGTATATTTATATGTAGATCAATACTGATATCTTCATACTGGTAGTGCTAGTAGTTTAGATATGTATAGACTAACCCTGACTACGGGCCAGTGCAGCATCACCCCCAGGGGTTGGATCGGACAACATTGACGAATGATCCCCTTCGTTCGAACCCGTCGCAGCCCGCCCCTTCGCAGCCCGCTGGGCGCAGCGGCCAGTAAATGGATCCAGCCGGCAGAATATCTGCGCCGAAGAAATTCATGTCGGGGAGAGTCGGGAGGATATTGGGATATATGAAGATATTCTCAGGTGAGAAGGAAACCTTGAGACCGGGCGAAACAAACATTTGCATACTTCACCCACCAACTAGAATGATACCAAGATAGATCAACACAAGAAAAAGTCCCCTGTGCTCTTCAGCATGTATTGGTTTCACCTGTTCGACATATTTGGAGATGTTCAGCGGGATTCTAAACATGGGATTTTTCCTATCTGACCATATTTAGGACCCTGACTTTGCCTCTTGGGTAGACCCTTGATGTTTGGGACCAACAGTTCCCAATCTTCAGGAAATCGGCGATGCATTGAAGAAGGAATATCTTGCTAGTGTGGTGAAAATTGGTTTCAATAATTGGTTCACGTTGGATAGTTTCAAAGAGTTCTGTCAGTGATGTATTGGCTCTTGTTCATGGGATCAAGGTGTGGGCCATTGGTGACACGCGGGCATGGGCACCTCACAAGCGGGTACGCCACCTTAACACAACTTGTAGTGACTCGTACTTGGAATCCAGGTGCCAGTCAAAGTGGTGAAAAAATCCAAGCTCTTCTCAGCTGTAGCAAGTTGGATTTTGTGATTGAATTGTATAGCGCCAAGAGTCCCAAGATGATGTGTTTCCATGCTTATAAATTAACAGTCAAACGAAAACACACGGTTAGACTTTGCAGAAGTGGAATGCAAATCAAGTCCATTGTTTAGTCGCCTGTTTGGGTTGAGCACCCATGCTCTAATATCGGTATAAGGTTTGATAAACGACATGATATTTGATATTCAATGGTATCGAAGTCAATCAACATTTCCCTCGAAAAAACAAACATGTCCACAATGGTTTGTCATATTATGGTTCGTCAATGACCAGTGTGCACATTGACTAGGCTTCAAACCATAAGCAACATGTGGTGGTGATCATATGCGGCTGCTTGTATGTGCGAGACAGCCTAGTGCCGGCTACAGTTGGAAAAGGCAAACATTATAAATGTGGCCTCTCAAGCTTTGTTTCACGGAACATATATAGACAAGCTAGTGGTTATTAATATTCATTCAAGAGGGATTGGCCATTCATCGCGGGAAATATATTTGTTTGCCGGTGCTTCGCGGCCTCATGGCGAAGCAAGGTCCTAGAGCCATCTCTAGCTAACATGTGTTGGAACTATATAGATGTGTATCCGACAAGTAGTGACTGCAGCATGACTGCACACAAGGTTGGTGCTACAGCCACTCTAGCATCAATTGCAGCATCTGCACGACAAGCCTTGAGGAATAGACTGACTAGAGTCAGGCACACCTCAATCCAACCCCTGCGCCAGCTACCAACACGGGGAATTGCAGCTCGGGGAATGTCCACAGGCTGAAACTTTGGAACCTGGAGTTTAACGGTTCATTCACGGAACATTTGCGGATCTTTCACGAACATTCACGGGTGATTTCCCCGATAAGGCAGATCGTGCGCAAACATCTGCACAACCTGTCAGAGCTACAAGTCGTTGCCTCACTGTCAGGGCTGCGCAAGGGCGATGCAGTTGCATTTTGTGAGTTGACTTGGGGAACGACAATCCTGTTATACGCACAGTCAGGGCTGCGCTGAGTTGTCAGGTTGTTAGTCTGTGACAGTGGGGCCAGGAATATTCAGGAATCGGAGAATCATTTACGCACTGTGAGGGCTAGGAAAGGAAACGTTGAGGCTTCAGTTCGTTAGTTAGTCTGTGACAGTGGGAACATGTGGGGACACACACACACATCTGCCCACCTGCTCTGCCGGAGGATTGCCTTGTCTTTGTGGAAAGGAAGTAACATGAAGACCTTCGATAAACATGTCGATTAAACAAAACTAAAACTTTCGCGAACCTCATCACGGATCTTTCGCGGATAGACAACATCTAAAGGTCGTTTTTAGACAACAGTAACCCTTTAGATCAATATGAAAACCAAAATGCAACGTGCGATGTCTACACTCCGTACGATAACCATCTGGCCGCAACCATGTTGTATCTTGTCTGTTGATAATTGGTATTGTGGTTTGATTGTGGGGTAAGTTGTAAAGCCCTTCCAGGTGATATGTGAAACCTATGGAAAACTGTCATTGGAGCAAGAAGGGCACGTCGAAGCGGCTTCAAAACCCATTCCACGTCACTCGAAGCAAGGGATACTCCCATTTGTCCTATGCTCCAACTCAAAACCACACGAGGACACAAAGCAACAGGTTGCAAACATCCGCCCATGTTCCTAATCCTAGGAACACCCCTGAGTGCCCCAGGGAAGCCGCCCTCCCCCAAAAAAGCCGCCCGTCGGAGGCGCACGTGCAGTGGAGTCAAAGCCGACGATGATACGGCGGAAGCCCTCAGAGAGACCCCCATACTCCAAGAGCCCTTCGAACCTGGCGAAAGAGCGTGGACTGTGGAGAGACACGCGGACTGTGACATGGATGAGACTGCGTGGGCCACATGGCGGTGCGGTGAGCGATGTCGAGTGACCTCTCGATATATTATATAGATATTGATAGATAACATTATAGTATAGTCTGTATATAGTTATATATAGAAATGTAATAAATATATGTGATTTCTTGTGATTGTGTCTTATTCTATCAATGCTGCTCTAGTTTGTGATTGTGTTCTATTCTATCAACGCATCAAGTAGGTTCAAAGTGGATAGCAAACCAATGCCTGACGGCTTGTTTGCATACTAGACTACTTAGCTAGAGATCCATCTATATAAGTCACCTGTGTTGGGTTGTGTGCGATTCGGATGGTTGATCATGTGGTGTTTTACTCCCAAATAGAGAACTATAGAGAACCACTTTGCAAACCAAAACACAGGCCTGTGACAAGCAAAAGCACCAGCATTCTGAAGCATCATTGTTTTATGAATCATCCATATCAATATCCATATCTTATGATCCACCGAAAGGTATCAATTGAGAGGAAAACCATGCAAAAAAGATACAGTCTACTGGCCTCCACCCTAAAGTAGAATCAAATCTGTGAGTCAGGCCCTCTGCGTATGAATGAAAAATGGCCGAGAAACCCTGGTGAACATCCAGAAATGAAGAGACTGGTTCAACTCGACACGTTCACAAATTCCAGCTTTGGGGGGGGAATCTATCTCAACATCGCGCCACATGCGTCTTCAACACCTCGCCAGGTCTCTGCTTATTTGGCATAAACAGAAGCGTTTTCGCTGTGGCTAAGGCGACTTCTAAAAAACATCAGTGACCAATCCAACAGTAGCTTGGTGTGTGGAGAATCTATTTCCTCGTGATGAAGCAAAAAAGGGATTCCACCGATTACACCCTAGTTCCCTGGTACAGTCATGCTTCTCCACCAAATCTACAAGCCGACATAAGTCTATGACCCCCAGTAATCTCCACCTGAGGATCGCTCGCTATTTACAGTGGATCCATGATGCAATGGACCACATGCCGTTTGCCACATGCCAGAGGGACAGTGGGGGCAGGTACCTGGCGTCACAGGACCCATGGAACTTCAAGTCATGTAGTAGCGTCCTTGCTCCTGGAAGAAAAGGAGTGAATACCCGAGTTGAATATTCTCAACTCCTGGGTTAATTCTTTATCTGTTGAAAGCTATCAGCTACCCCCTGAGAAGTATTAACTCCCAAGTTAAAATTCTTGGTACCATCCCTATTGTAGAAGAATCAACTCAGGATTTAGTTATATTTATGTGCCCCCTACCCAATGTGGTACTTTATTGCTATTTGGGTCCCTTCAAAAAGAATTAAATCCTGAGTTGATTCTTTTGTGGGCACAATGGTGGAATAGATTTTGTGTACAGGTTGTTTTGGAAAAGAATTAAATCCCAAGTTGGTTTGGAAAAGAATGAAATCAAGAGTTAATTCTTTTCCAGGGCTGCCATGTCCTACCAATCCTCCAACAATCTTCTACTTTCTCTCTTTCTCATACAAACC